TGTTTGTTCGAATTATTCGTTTTGTTTGTTTATTCGTTTATTCGAATTATTACTCGAATTATTTATTTATTCCTTCTATTCGTACCATTCGTTTTATTCGAATTACTCGTTTTAATTGAATTATTATTATTCGAACAATTCGAATTATTCATTTTATTTCGAACTATTCTTTTATTCGTTTTATTCGAACTATTCGAATTATTCGTTCATTGGTTTTATTCGAACTATTCGTTTATTCGTTTTATTTGAAATGTTCGAATCATTCGTTTTACTCGAATTATTCATTTATTGTTTTATTCAAACTATTCGAGTTTATTTTGTTTATTTGAATTATTTCGTTTATTCGTTTTATTCGAATTATTCGTTTATTCGTTTTATTTGTACTATTCGTTTTATTTGAATTATCGAATTACCGTTATTCATTTTTATTCGAATGAACTTCAATTTAATTCGAATACTCAAATTCATAATGAGTAAAACAAATAAACCTTATTAGAATAGAAACCCTAACCATATAGTTGTATATAGTGATTTAATCTAGTTTGCCAAATTTGGTGACTCCGTAGTTCAAATCGCATGCTCGCAATATACGGTTTATGGCTTTAATGACTTTAGGTATCATGTCGAATTTATTATGTAATGCTGAATTGTTGTAATTCAGATAGAAAAATCTATTTTGTGTGTGATACATATTTGTGGCTGAAAAAAGAAAAAAATTTTTTTAGACAAATATAATAAAAAACCACAATGGGAAACACTTTAAATAAAAATAAACATCACGACAATACTTCTACCAACAAAAATGATGAATATTCTGATAGAAGAAATGAAAAATATGGGGAATGTCCAACCTGCAATAGATATAATACTTATTATTTATGGTGTCGATCATGTGATCCAAAGCTATTAACTGAAGGATGGACTAGTGGCAATGAAACATTAGATGAGTTGATTAAAAGTACACAACTTAAAGCAAAATATTATAATAATGATCATTATCTTCAATGGATTACTTATAATGATTTAACAAATATTGAAAAGATTGGTGAAGGTGGGTTTGCAACTATATACAAAGCTACTTGGTTAAATGGCAAGAAAGATTTTGATAGACATAAAAGAACTAGCAAGGATATGTCTGTGGCATTAAAAAAACTACATAATTCACAGAATATTTCTAATGAATTTCTTGATGAGGTAAATTATTTTATTTTTTTATTTCTTTTTTCTAAATATTAATATTAATTTTGAATTCAATATATTTTTTTTTAGTTCAGAATTTACGTTACATTTTATGGTAAATATATTATAAATCATATTTATGGATTGTCACAAGATCCATCTACGAAAGAATATATCTTTGTAATGAAAGATATGAAAGATGGAAGACTTCAAGTTTATGAAGATCCATATATTAGAAATGAAAAATATGGGGAGTGTCCAACCTGCAATAAATATAATACCAGTTGGGCATGGTGTCAATCATGTGATCCAAAGCTATTAACTGAAGGATGGACTAGTGGCAATGAAACATTAGATGAGTTGATTAAAAGTACACAACTTAATGCAACATATTATCATTATAGTAATCATCTTCAATGGATTCCTTATAATAATTTAACAAATATTGAAAAGATTGATGAAGGTGGGTTTGCAACTATATACAAAGCTACTTGGTTAAATGGTTATAAAAGTGTAAATATTGAAAATAAAAGAATTAGTAAAGATATGCCTGTGTCATTAAAAATATTGCATAATTCACAGAATATTTCTGATATATTTCATAATGAGGTAAATTATTTTATTAATACAAAAATATTATTGATTATTATTGTTGTAATTAAATATTTTATTTGTCATTTTAGTTCAAAAATTATATGAAATTTCATGATAAAGTATATATTTATGGATTAACACAAGATCCAACTACAAAAGAATATATCTTTATAATGCATCATATGGAAGATGGAAGTCTTCAAAATGATGAATATTCAGATAAAAGAGATGAAAAATATGGGGAGTGTCCAACCTGCAATAAATATAATACTGGTGAGGCATGGTGTCAATCATGTGATCCAAAGTTATTAACTGAAGGATGGACTAGTGGCAATGAAACATTAGATGAGTTGATTAAAAGTACACAACTTAAAGCAAAATATTATAATAATTATCATTATCTTCAATGGATTCCTTATAATGATTTAACAAATATTGAAAAGATAGGTGAAGGTGGGTTTGCAACTATATACAAAGCTACTTGGTTGAATGGTAATAAAGGTATTGATGAAAATAAAAGAACTAGCAAAGATATGTCGATAGCATTAAAAAAACTACATGGTTCACAGAATATCTCTGATGAATTTCTTAATGAGGTAATTTATTTTATTTTTTATTTAAATGTATTTTCAGATTTTTTAAATATTATTGTTGTAATTAAATATTTTTTATTTTAGTTCAAAAATCATACAAACTTTGACTCATTATATATAATTTATATTCACGGATTAACACAAGATCCAATTACAAAAGAATATATATTTTTAATGGAATATATGGTAGATGGAAGTCTTCAAAATTACATAACTAAAAATTTTAAAAATTTAAACTGGACAAAAAAAACTAGAATTCTTTATGATATTATTAATGGTTTAAATGAGATTCATGAAAAAGAAATTATTCATCATGATCTTCATAGTGGTAATATTCTTCAAAAAAATTTAACTTCATATATTACAGATTTTGGATTATCAGGCCCAGTTAGTCAAACATTATCATCAAACAAAAATGATATATGTGGAGTACTACCATATATTGCACCAGAGGTTTTAAAAGAAAAACCATATACAATGGCATCAGATGTATATAGTTTTGGAGTTCTGATGTCTGTAGTATCAACTGGCCAACAACCATTTAATAATTTGGCACATGATGAATAT